GAACAACTGACTAAGAACTTCAGCTTTTTAAACTTTTCATAAAATTTTGTTTAATTTTCTTCATAATTATTTGAAATAATTAGCTGTTATTCCAGGCAGTCAAAAAATATATTCTTCTTATTTTTTGTTAAATTTCGTAAAATTGAAAATAAAATTCAAAATTATTAATGTGAGAAGCTATTTTATCCAGTCTTGGAAATTTTTTCATTCATAACGTATTGTTTCATATAAGCACACTATTTGTACGTATCATTTTCAGATACTTAATAGTAGTTATAATTATATTATCAAGTAAGAACAAAGATTTAATTTTTATTCTATACTTTTCGAAAACTCGGAACAATCCAGGACAAAAGATCTAAATCCAGGACAAATATTGCTTTTAGAAAAACTCGGAACACATGGTAGAAATCCGGGACTGTCCCGGCCAAACCGGGACTTATGGTCACCTTAATAAAAAGCATTAAAGAAATTAAACGGATGCATATTAAATTATGAATCAGTTTTTTGCACAACGTTTACTTGATTTTCTGATAACCAAGTGTTGATAAAATTTTACGTAAATTATATAAATCTCCTCACTAATGATACTAATAATTACGGGAATGAGAAACTATCTTGGGATAAGAACGTTTTGTTATTTAATTCTTTTAGATAATTAAAGATGATAAAGTACAAAATAATGCCTTATTTTTTTCCTGATATCTTTCAGACCTTGTGGTCATGCCAAAACGGGTATTGTTCCGAAAAAAATTAGAAAAAAATAATTATGTCACGTTGTTTGGAAATTGAGCTTTTAAGTTCAACCCAGAGCTTTGAAGAAACTATGACTATTTTTTGATTATTGTGGTTAACTTTTATTAATTTTGTTCATTTATTTATACTATAACCGTAACCGTGAATAACATTTCTAAGACCACAGTAAAACCATATCACAATTGCTCCAAGTTTTCAAGATTTAATTTTTGTTGAACTATGAATTCAAAATTTTTAAAATCGGTCGACTTAAAAAAATGTACTAAAGTGTGTTGATAAGTTTCATCAAAAGTTGGCGTAATTAATCAGGATTATAAAAGAGTAAAACTATTGATAATTTTATTATTGAAACATTTCGAGTAAAAGTGAAAACAAAAAATTACATGAATTTTTGCTAGTACATTTTATTCACATTCAGTTCAAAAACTTTTTGCAACCTTCATCTGCAACTTGCCTTGAGGAAAATACTACCATAGTACAAAATTCTGTATCGCAAAACCCAATTTTCTCTGTGTTGCTTATGAGTTCATTTTACTAGTCGTAACAAAATATTTTAGGTTAACTTATTTATTCGTTCTTTTATTCAAGCATTTTAAATAAATAATAAATTTATAAAGTAGATATTACAAAACTATGAAAAAAATACAAATTTTTATATGTATGTCTAGTTCCAAACTTTCTAAGCTCATAACTTCACACTTTGGTCAAGCCAAAGGTTACGTTATAGGTCACGAAATGTCAATAATGTATTATTGAAAAGTATTTGACACTTACAAATGGCCCACATGAACTTTATCTAACATCTATCATCACAGAATACATAATAATAATTTTCTCTATATTTAGATCTCCACAAAATAGTTAATTTTATATTGAAACATTTATTAACGTACGTCCATTGTGCTTTTGCGTTATGAGTTCATTGTGTCAGAATTAATCGCGTCTTTAACAAAATATATTTTATGAGAGCAAGCGGTTGGTCTTCCATAAACAATGAAAAACCCACACGCGAAAAATAAATACAAAGATAATAACAATGTTCGGGAGAGAAAATTATCTACCTCATACAGCGAGCTTTGGCTGGTCGATACTGCGACGTTGGAAAAGAGACTGGTGGGCGGGATAAGTACACAATTAAATAATGCAAGAGCTCCTGTTAAATAGAGCACACGGTGTTGCAGCTATTTACATCGATGTTCTTTTCGTGCAGGTAAATTCGATACAAATGTGCTGCATTTCAAAATAAGACACATGAAGATTGAACGATGGTGCAGAGGAAAAATGGTCAAAATGATATTTATGGACAGAATGGCACAGTGGCCTTAGTTAAAAATGGACTAATATCACTATTAACGTTTCCGCAACTGCATAACATGAGGAAATCTATTCAAATCTAAATCAAAATCTACCCAGATGTTGAGCCTCATTGTCACAATCTTGGAGCAGTAATCAGCTCAAACGTGTTTCGCGCTTTGAAAAGTATATTTTGATGGTAGTTTGCTCATGCATCGAAATGACATATGTGTCATTTACCATATGGTACTATTTCGCAAGTGTCGTAAAGTCAAGAAAAAAAGCTTTAAACCTGTCAAAGGTGATTAGCTTTTAACTTCTAATCCAAGTATGCAAAATAGACCAAGACATCATCCGGTAAAAAGAACAGAATTGTATAAATAATATTAGCAATATATTAATATATATTTTTAAAGCATTGTTATTTTTTACATCTTACTTAACTTCCCTATTAACAAATTTTCTGCTTTCGCTGAGGTGAAAATTTGTGTTTTGTTCACGTTTTCGCAAAAAAATCCTGAATCGACTAGAGAAATTTAAAAACCCTTTGTAATATATTGGTAGTATTTTGTAATGATTAGTTTTTGGTAAAGATCAGCTGGGTCTTTTCTTTGTCGTTGAATTTGTTTATGATTTCAATGAAACTTTGTATGATTTTGATATAACTTTGTATGATTTTGATGAGGTACATACTCGTATTTTGATGAGGTACATAATCCCGATTTTTCTGAATCCTTGCTTTATAATTATCAGATAGGTGAAAATAAGTATTTCGTACACTTTTTGCAAAAAATCCTGAACAGACTAGGGAAATTTCAAAACTGTTCGGAAGACATCGGTAGTAATACGCGATTATTAGTTTCTGGTATAGATCGGCGGAGCCTTTTCTTTGTTGTTGAAATTTTTTTTAAATTTTGATAAGGTTCATACTAATCAAGATTTAAAATTGAAAAATTAAGAATTTAGATTCAACATTTTGTTGTCATTCTTTGGTAAGTTGCTAAATTTGATTTTTTATTCTTTAATTTGTTTATATTTTCAACAAATGGATGAAGAAATTAGTGGTTAGTTTCTTTATTGTATCAACGCCAATTGGTTAGTTCTTATTGAACATAATCATATCAATATATATTTCTATATATTTTTTAGGATACTTCCATAGACAAATTTAATTTGCATAGGTATAATGACATAATTGCATTACGCACTGCAACTGCAATTAAGAACTCAATTATTATCATCTGATACTTAATAATAATTTTATTTGCCTCGTTATAAACATCGACAAGATATAGGTCGGCAAAATCTTCTTAAATCTTAGTTATCTAAATTTTCTGAGTTTATAACGAGTATAAAACCACCAATTTGAATCTACGTCAGATAATATAATCAAAATAGAGTTAGTTGTACACCCAAACTCTATCTGTATAGGCGAAATAAATATTTCGTTTCTGTTTTTTTGTTTGCGAAAGAGGGAGTTGTGATCGACGTGGAACATCAAGATAAGATATTTTGTTGTTCTGTCGAGAATCTAGTAAACTCACTCAACTCAATCGTTTTTTGGGCGGGCCTCGCAGACTTCATCCTTCTGGCCTTCGAGCGTCGTTGGCCGATGCCTATCTTTTCGATTTATCGCCGCTTCCTGATTTAGCGGCGGAAAAATACGCGCAAAAAACTGTTTTCCGGATCAATTCAAATGAGTCCCGTGCTAGACTTTCCTAACTAAATGGTTAAAAATACATTTCGAGTGGTTTTAGCAGTTTTGCGAACTACCTGATTGGTAAATAGTGGCTTTAGAATTATTGACTATGTTTGGAAGATATTGAGACTAAGCTCCCAGAAGGGTGTCCCAGAAACCAACGCCTAAAAAGAGTAGTATTGATCGTAACTATCGTGAAAATTGATCAATTCATTTACTGAATATTATAAGCTTTTAAGTTAAATTTGGAGATTTTGTGAAACTGTGACTCCTTTTGAAGTAATTGTGGTTAATTTGTACTAATTTTAATAAAAAAATAAAAAAAAATAAAAAAATATGCACGAAAGCGTCTAATGTATTTAGTTTCTGCTCTTGTTTCCGTTTCCATTTGAACAGATTGCAAGTAAAATGCACTTTCCAAAATTAATTTATTTTTAGGTTTTTATTTTTTTACTCTACTTTTTTAATATAAACTTATACTGTATTTTATTAGTTACAATACTGATTAAATACGCAAACTTTTATTGATAGTTGACAACAAACATTAATACAATTTTTAAAGATGGGCCTCTGAAAGCCTCACCCATTTTGAAAATAATAAATTCATAGTTTTATCGTGGTCCTAGAAATATTATGTATGGTTACGGATCCAAAGTATAAATGTACAAAATTAGTAAGAAATAATCACAATAATCGAAAAATGGTCACAATTTCACTAAAAGTCTTAGGTTGGACTTGAAAGGTCATAATTTTCAAACTATATGGAATAAGTTTTCTTTCTAAATTTTTCCATGATATGATGATGAGTTCTGGAACACCCTGTATATTGCAAGATAGCAATTATTGTCTATTGATTCATTTTGCATGGTATATTTAATAAATACGCACGCTATGAATATTATTCATCATCCATCATTAGATAAAATATCACCTTTCACATTTTTATGTTTAAATATAATTCGTTGTGAATTGGGGATTGCAATGTATATTCAAATATTTTATTTATTCAAAAAAAGTTGTTTATATCAGCATTTTGAATGAAAATAAAATAATAAAACTTATTAAGAACGCTATAGTTCAAATAATAATGTAATACACCAAATTATTCATTGCACAAATTTGTGAAGCTTCTCTTTGCAACAATTCCCAAGTTTAGAATATCTCTGGAATAGTTGCACAGAGCACATAATCTATTCGAAACCCCAATTCGAAACATTTGCTGTGATTGACACTATGCTGTAACTTTGACCAGGCGCATCGGGTTCGGTTTCCAGGGGAGTATCCGGCGGCCATGCAGCGAGGGGGTCAGCCTCACCGCGAGCTCTCCCCGCGTCTACGTTTGCTGCTACTCTGCACGCTCTGCCTGCTGTCGTGTTGGGCATAGCCGCGTTAATGGACAACGGCCCATTTGCGCGTCTGCTGCACGCCGGCAGCGAGCAGGCAGCAACGCCGATTTTGACGCTCACGCGCTGGTTGAGGTCAGCAGTCGTAGCCGTCATATGTCTAGAGGTCTGCGCCGTGCTCCGGAATCTCCGAGGACTCATCGTCAGCAAGTTCCTCTGCCCGATATTACTAAGCGTCTTCGTCGTCTTTGCATGCTCCTCTTTTGTAGGTAAAATTTATATAATCGCGATATCATGCTGGGTGGCGCAGTATATTATACTGGCTTTATGGAGGTTAATAACACAAGTAAGTACAAAATCAAACTTTGCGCTCTGTCCTCTGGAACTTCCAGAACCGCGGCACGAACATTCGTTCAAATTATTTTCATTTATCACATCTAACAATCTATTGATTGCTTTGATAAGGAGAATTGTTTCAACGAGTTACTCAATATTTTCGAGAAAACCGTTAAGGCAAGCAGAAATGAGGTGATAATGCATTCGCATAAATTGTACGTAATACTGTATTTCCGATTGTAGTCCATTAGGTAACAAACGAAACGAGAATGTAAGGATGGTATTCAATTGGTGATATTTAATAGAGAGATAAGATAATTTAAATTATTTAACTAGAATGTAAATTTGCATATGCTACTTAAAATTAAGACATCAATTCACATATACAGATATATAAATATATATCTGTATTTGAAGAACTATGTTTGTAAATATGTACTTGTATGTGTGTTGATCTATTATCGGCTTTATAATTTGAATTTTCTACTTTCTTGAATTACGGTATGGTATAAATCTACATTTAGAATAATTTTTTACTTTGTACCAACCAAAATAATTTGCAAAATTACTGAAAGTATGAAAATGGCATTTACATAGAAACGCAATTTCTCTAGTTACTAAATATTGAATTCTAAGGACTCGGTGTTACGAAATATGTTGATAGCGTGTACATACTAGATTTAATATACTAATGTAAAAATATTTATTATATTGACTGTACAGATATTTTCATATAGGTATATAATTATATTTATCATTCCGTTTAAATTTATATCGGCATTTATATGCATTATATTTTCTAGTGGCAAATAAAATATTTTATATGATAATGTTAAGTATCAATTTAATATATTTATCAGAGTTTTATATATGCATTTATTTATCGAGGAAAATTATGATGCATTAGCTAAATGATTACTAATTGAAAAATGTAACTGTTAGTGTAATTATGTTACATAAATATGAAGGATGTTTATTTTTTAAACGTGAATTGAAGCATTTAAAATATATGTAAAATATTATTTTAATAAATTTAAGAAATATATGAATATAATCGTTACACATGATATATATGTTATGTAATAAGCATATATTAATTGTGAACCTATATATATAATACTTTTTGAAGTTAAAATATTGTTGCCATATTTATGTTATGATTGCAATTAAAGCAATCATTTTCAGAGATTACTACCTACTTTGGTGCTAAGTAGTCGTAGCTTGTTAAGTTTGTTTTAACTTTCATTACTTTTTAATGTAATTTTAGTTAGTTTATGCATTTCTTACGATTTAAGATAATAAAATAATCATAAATTTCAAAATAAATTACTCCCAAGAGTAAAATATTTTAGAGTGACATTATCATTATTTCTTTATCTTCATGGAAATATTCTACAAATTAATTTACACCACTGACTATTTTATCAATTCTACGTTGTGACTACTATAATAGATATCAAATTAAATATACATTTTGTCAAAAAATATGAAAACAGAAATATTAAGAGAAGTTTACTGACTATTGATTATATATTGTACAATAATTAAAAGAGATTGTGAAAAGAGTGCGATTTAAAATTATAGCATATAATGTGCAAATTGTAAATATAAATAATTAAACCTAAATGTATAAATATTTAGATGTAATATAAATTCAGCTCAATGAATTTAGGATATAGGACAAAAATATGAAACTATGCATACATAAAATATAAATTATATAAACATTAATGCGATGCAAGTGAATATATTCATGAACTAAAAAAGTTATGATTTTATCATTTGTTTTATAGTTGAGACAGAAATTTTAATATTTTGATCGTTTTGAAGAAACCATGGAGAATACAACTGATTATTATTTATTTATTTTTTCAATCATTTCAATTCCTTTTCAGAAACTAAGAATAACAAATTAAAAAGAAATTTCAGTCTACATTTATACACTTACTTAATTATTTAAAAATGCAAGAATTCACTTTTTAACACAATAACTAATCATTTTTCAAACATCAATCCTGTGTTTGAAAATACATGTGAAAAAACATTCTCACTCTACTAAGTACCTTTTAATAATAAAATTCTCAATGTAAGTTCTTAACCGATTTTTGTTTGATTTTTATGTATGTTTATCATCTGTATAAAAAATCCATTTAAGCAGACTTAAACTAATAACATTACAGATGATAAACATACATAAAAATAGCGAAAATTGCTTGAGAGAATAAATTTGAAATGTTAATATTAATATGTACTCACAGAAGACATATTTTCACGAGATCAAAATATATATATTTAAAATATATGTAATTATAATTTATAATACCAAATATTTAAATTAAAATTTCTAATGTTCATGAAAATAAATTTAGGAAATGAGCTAACAACAAAAAATAATGTTTTTGTATATAATCCTTAAAATTATTTAAAAAATGTGAGGTAAATAAATTGAAGTGACTATAGAATTCACTTATACACCTCCGTTTATGTATTGCAAGCATCTCTCATAAAAACAACTAACGCATTATCATGGTAATGCAAAATATAATGCTGAAAACTATACAAGTCTCATAAAACAAACTCCTCTATAATACCTTTCCAGGTCGTAAAATAAAATTTCATTACATTTGTTCATGAGTATATTTACGATGGGAATCATTGAGTAAAGTTAAAGTTTCAAAACTCGTATACAGTTAAGTCACACACAACATAACGCAGAACCGTATCATCGTTTTCACTTAAGCTTCACGCCGTTTCGTAAAAACTCTTGTTCAGAAGTTTAAACTTGGCGCTTTTTCAGATTGTTCCGCACTTTTCTATGCATAAATAAACATTTCGTTATTTAAATGTAAAGATAACGTTTATACATCAACGGATAATAGTCTCTAATCCACTGCCATCCTTAACCAACAAAATAGTTAATTTGCGTTATTTGCAAAAACATTCAAGATATCGACAAAAATCTATATTTATAATTTGTGCAGTGAAGTTCAGAAATATGCAAAATTTTAACTTCCGTACAGCTGTTTATGTTTGTTTTGTACGTTATAAAAAAACCCTCATGATTCCAGTTACAGTTCTTATTTTATTTACTGATATTCATTATTTAAAATTTTATTGATGATTTCTCTGTTTATTTTGAATAAATTACTGATAAGACAAATAATTCTAAAATTTAACTTATACTCTTTGAATTAAATTACACAACAATTTTATGGTTTCTTGAATATATTCTATGCAAAATTATGTTCATAACTTTCACTTCACTAGTATATTCGACCAAAATAATGATGAATTTTTGAAAAATAATTCTGTGTTTTGAACAAAGTTTATGACTTACCTTATTTTTAGCAAATCATTACGTTGTCAATTTTTACAAGCATTTTTTATTTAAGATTTTTTTATTATATACGACAAATAAGTAAGTTGAGTAAGTTACTCTTAGATTTGTAATTAAATTACACATTGATTTTATTATTTCATTGAGACTATAACAGGATTTTATTAAATATAATTTCTAATTTTCTAAAATAATTGCATATTTGGAAAACAGTTTATTCCACATCTTTATTAAATGTCCTTAACTGGACAGTTGTAATTAAAAGAGAGAATAAAAAAAATATTAAGAAATTTAAAAATTTCGTATTCAACAACCGGAATTTTTAAAGATGTTATACTCCATTATCCTAATTGTTTTGAGTAAACTACAAATATGAGGAATTAACATTAAAATTCTATCTCAATGACTTCAAATTAAATTATCCATTCTGAAAACTTCATTTTCAGTAAAATCTCCTATATTTTTAAGGTAATTCTTTCATTAATTCATTTCATTCATTTTCCTAATTATTTTTAGTATACCACAAATAAGATAAATAAACGCTGACTTCGAATTAATTTACATATTTATTTTATTATTTTATTGCTTGTCAAAGTTATTTAGTTTCCTTTGCATTATTTTTAAAACTTCAAATAATTGTAATAAAAAATTTAACCTACGGCATTGTTGGTGCTAAAAATATTTCGCTAATATAATTCTAATAAAATGAAAATCTAAAAACTTTTATACACGACAATATTTGTTTTGAATTATGTGTCTATATATGATTTCATTATATTCATTTAAATAATATTAAAATAGCGTTGCTGAATCACGTTTATAAATCATTTATTATGTATAGAACAACTTTCAAAACTATTTATAACAAAATTCTGAAACACTAGATTTTACGAAACCGCGCTAAAATAATATTATTCTGCCAAACACAAAATATCACGTAATAAATAATAATAAAACATTGTTATTTAATATATACATTTTTCTATATATTAAATAACAAATATCATAACTTTTGCTAAATTGTCTATCCACATTCATGTGAAAAATTTGACCAAACCAGCTTTTCGCTTTTGGAATGATTTTTCTTTAATGTCAATACAAAAAGTACTTTTACCGTATTTCAAAATTTACCCATGTAATCTATAATGCGAAAAGGCGATTTCGATGACCGAATATCAAGATCATGTTTCTTAATATTAAATAAAGGATAAGAATATTAGGATGAACTATCTGTAATTATTCATATGTAAATGTACAATAAAAATGAGAAACAAACAAACAAATAAAAAATATTACAATCAAATATTTAGCGTTTGTAATCAATTTTATTTTATTAGTACTTCTTATACAAATCAATTCTTGATGATTAATAAGGTCATTTGATTAATTAATACAATATAATTCGTGTTCTTTTATAGAATTACCACTCCAGGCAAACAAATAGCAAACGTTTTGGCTTCCATAACATCATGTTCCGATAAATTGACATGACAACTTAGTGTATACTAGTGGAATACCCAAAGCACATGTCTTGCTGAAGAACATATAGTGACAAAATAATTTGAAACAAAATGGTTTCTTATTCCAGGGGGATATCACAGTTATGGAAAAAGTTTTGAAGGTTTTTTGTAAGGTAATTCTAGATATTAGTGGAACTCTGGACTGGCTTTCGCAAGATCAAGATCAAGAGAACATTACACATGTATTTGAATTTATCTAATTTAGACATATGTGGAAATATATATAAAATTGCTGAATCACGTTTACAAATCATTTATATATATATATATATATATATATATATATATATATAAACATGTGTAGGTACGTGTCTGTGTTATGTATGTATTTACATATAACAAGTGTTCTGCTCAAGCGATAATGGTATATGATAGTTTGTTTTTTCTTTTTCTTTACAATCAACTTTTTTATGTAAGCTTTTTACAGTCTTAAAATATTATGTATTTTT